GGGAGGTGGCGTCGTAACACAGGAATTCAAGGTTTTAAATTTAACTCGTCCCACGCTCGTGACAAAACAGGAAAACAGCACAACTTTCTTTGCGATTTTGTGTGTAGCAAGCACGAGACAAAACAGAAAACGGTATTCACGGCTTTTTTCTCATTTATCTCGTTGAATTTTATTGTTAGGGAAAGGACAGTTTTATGGGATCACGTGGAGCTAAAGGAAGCAGAGGAGAGAAAGTATGAAAATTAACCACGACCTTCACTTTCTTTAGCTGAGTAAAGAGGCTCAATTTTCCTTACTTTTCGATTCCGGTCTTTTTTCCTCCTCTTCAAGTTCTTATCATGTTGGCGTCAATTCGTTCCATTGATGGCGGGATCCTCTCATTATTTCAGTGGACTTAATTACCCTTCCCGCTTGAAATAAATAAATAAATACTACTAGATCAGTAACTTTTCATGATTGTGTACGTTTATTTTTTAAGGGAGTGACCGGTGAAGGTGGTTTGCCAGGAATGCCAGGGAACAATGGCAACTTGGTACGTAAACAGTAGTTTTTGATAAAGAATAAAACTTGTTTTTCTACTCAAGTCTTACTTTTAAATGAAGAGACCTGACAACATATTGGCGTCTTTAACTGGCAATTGCACTAGTTGAAACTTCATCTGCATAGATTATTTCATTACTTTAGTTCCTGATGCCGGTCTTCCATTGATCTTTAACGAACTGCTGTTTCTTTTCCTCAGGGTCCGCGTGGAGATAGGGGTGACCAAGGCGGCCCCGGATTTGAAGGAACCGAGGTAAGTATGCCAACTTGTCTATATAACTAGCCCCGAAAGCATGTAAGATGGAACAAATCCTATATCCTGATTGGCCACCCGAGCCTATCCTACTTGCTCGGGATTGCCTGTATTGATCCCAGAGAAGAACCTCCTTGCTGCCGGTTAAATATACTTCGAAACTTTTACAAAACATTTTCTGTTGAAAAAGATTTTTTTCCCCACACTATTTATATCACAAAACGCGACACGATGAACGAAAAAATAGAAGAAAACCAGTGGTGAATTTATTTAACAATCTTTTTGTATGAACTCACATTTGGTCTTTAACGCATTGTAACTATCTTTCAAACAAACTTTTTTATGCTCCATAACATGCTTTAATTTTCCTCATTTTTCTTGCTTATTTATTGTTTACGGTAGGGAAGTGCAGGACCTGTTGGTAATCAAGGACGACAAGGAGATCCAGGCATAAAAGTATGCACACGGAATGCTTGGTCACCATTGAGACAGTGTGACTGAGTGGATAGGGCGCTGGTCTTATTCTGTGTTGGTCCCGGGTTCACTGAAGCTCTCTGCCATGTTACTCACTGGATTTGTTCTCAGTTGTGCCGAGTTCAGTTCCTTTGCTGCACATGTTATGTAGCCAACTGATCTGCATCCTGCCAGCTGGGATTTTAAGATTACGTTTATTCATAATATTTTAATGGTGTGATCGGTTAAGATACATTTCTGTATTAGAAGAGGAGTCCGTCTCGATATATCACAAAGTTTTAACCGAAATAGGCTCATGACAAACCACATATGTGACGAGGACGGGTCGCAGGCGGTTTACCAGGTGGCCGGAGACTTTCGGTGCCTCAAAAGAACATTTCGGGGTGTAGAGTCCCCCCTCCCCCTGCCTCCACTGCAAATTACTGACGATTTAGAAGTCACCTCACTGAGTAAAAAGATATGTGTTTTCCCTTCTTTTCATTTATACCTAAGGGATCGCTAGGCGAGGATGGACTGCCGGGACCTGCAGGTGAACAAGGCATTCGGGTAAGTTAACCAAATTTGTTTGAACTGGAAATACATTGGAACAAGAGCCACTTTATAAAAGCGCCACTGCTAAAATCCGTCTTATATATTTCTTTAGTCTTATGATTAGGAAAGTGACGAATAGAACCCTGACCTTCACCCATTGTTTCTCGCTTTCTCGCTTTTTCACTCGTCTCCTCTGACTAAGAAGACCCTTTCACAGGCTTCACTTTCTGTAGTCTTAGCATACTCTTTACTATCGTGCCTTTTCTGATTGCAGGGCGCTCCTGGTTATCGGGGTACAAACGGACCTTTAGGGGACCGAGGGCCACTGGTAAGGAGTGTATACCGTGTAACGTTTTCCTAGAGAACACTGTAGGGATTAGAGAAAATTTCCCACGCGCAAACTTCGATCGTGTTTGTGATGCTCTCGTTTCTGCGTTCCTCGTGGTATATGGTTAGGCGATTTAAAAGAAAATATTGTAAGATACAGCTATTGTTTAAAAGGATTGACGAACAAAAGGAATTGTCACTAATTTAATCAAGGGCCCATGTGATGTCTATCGCTCGACCGTCGGCAGTACGGTCGATTCAGGAATGAGCCGTAACCCTATAACTGCCGTGAGTTACCGAGGCAGAATTTCTGCTTACAACAATTAACACAATATCAAACAGACAAGTCACGCGAATAACGAAAAACATCAGTTAGAGGTTGTTAGTCGATCTAATACTGAACTATCCGAACTAACACGGTAAGAATTGTCTGTTAGACATTAAGGAGGACTACTAATGAGATCTTGGGAGAGAAATGGTCAACAATGGCATGAACATATGAATACTAAAAGACCGACAAACATAATGTACGTATGCACTTGTATCGACACGGTTGTTCTGCTCTCTTTGAGGCGACTGCCTCCTATGGGAGATGAAGCCACATACGTCGTCGAAGTGAGTAAGTGAGTGATGGGAATGAGAATGAGTGAGTGAGCTTTACCCAATTTTGACTAGATGATCCTCGGAATACGTCAAAAGACGATAAACATCTCACAATTATTTTAGGATGGCGCGTGAAAAGACAAAGCTTTCCTTGCAGAAATATCTTAAAATGTGTGATCGGTGATCATAGTAACTGAGTGGAAATATTGTCCTCGGAAGAGAGAGCATGTTACCGTTTGAATCGGCGAATAAAGCTGAATTGTGCTTTACCAGTAGCCACATGCAGTCTTAGACTGGCTTTTTTCTACCCAGGGAGTTACTTTTTGGAACAAATTTATTTCTTTAAAATCTGGAAACAGATTCCGTAAAAGCCCAAAGAATCACTGACTCACTTAGTGGCTTTTATTTCTACAATTTTCAGGGAGGCAACGGAGCACCAGGTGGGATGGGATCTCCAGGGGCCACAGGGCCATCGGTTGGTGAACTGACTTATTTTAATTAACAAATATATTCCAGGTTCCCGTCCGTCTGTTCAGTAACAGAACACACATGACGACATGAAAATGTGGTAACAACAAAAGAGAGGCACGCAAGGTGCAGCCGTGAATGTCACTGATGTTCTTACCACATTTTTCCGTCATCTGTGATCTACTACTGAACAGACACACGGCAACAGGGAAGCTATCGTTTTATATAATAAGCTAGCAAATGTTTTTGAAAAGTGACCCTATCCATTAGATCATAAGTAAGAACCAATCAAAATGCTAGTATAATTCAGCTTCAAAAAAAAAAATATATTGATCATCATGAACTGTTCTGTGTACCAGTCCTTTTACTTAGAGTCCATTTTACATGTTAATTTGGTTCTATCAAGTAAGTTAAAATTGTAAATTGGTCACCGTAAAGAGTTAAAAAGCTGACGTTTCGGGCGTTAGCCCTTAGTCAGAGCGAATGACGAAGGGTTAACGCTCGAAACATCAGCTTTTTAAATCTTTACGGTGGCCAATTTACAATTTCAACTCACTTGATAGAACCAAGTTACCTTGTTACCCCCACCGACGTAGCACCACAGTTTCTTTAGAAACTTACCTCGTTTATCCATTTGACATGGTTTTGGATACCCGAGATCAGCTTCCTCTCAGTATTACCCTGGCCAAGCTAACTTTTCATCACAAATCTTTTCAATCTTCAACCAACTACTTCTGATTGGCCTTTATTATTACCAAAGTTTTGGTTTTTTATAATACTCAACCTAAATATAAAGCACTTTTTGATGGGTACAAATTGTAGGAGGCATTTGTAATTGTTTCTCCACATGGTGGCCTCACGAAAAAACACTATTGACTCTAAAAATCAACATCCATTTGTAATCCTTACAGGGAGAGTTGGGAGCCGCAGGAATACCTGGGTTGGATGGTAAACCAGCACAAGCGGTAAGTGGACCATAAGAGGGGGAACAGAGCGAGGAGGGGGCAAGGCGAAGAGGGTCTCTTGTCTCCCCAGGATTTGGTACAGGAAATGTCGCTAGTGCAAGTCTCGTGATCTTTTTACAAGTAGTTTCATGATAGGCTTGGTTTGGAGTTTAAAAAAAGCCCCTCTCATCTCAAAATGTTCCGTCACCTCCGCGGATGTTATTAACTGTTTTCTACCAATCATGATCGTCATCATTGTTGTCTGATCATTAATTAGTTGCTTTTGATTTATTGTTCTCCCATCTCTTCAGGGGTCACTTGGTAACAGAGGAATGCCGGGAAGTAGAGGAGAACGTGGAATCCCGGTGAGAAACAAAACACTGAATTAAAAAAAATTACCCACGCCTATTTTCCTTTATGTTTATTGGCTTCTTTATTTTGTCAAATGACAGGGTCGTCCCGGACGTGATGGTGTACTTGGCGGTACAGGAGACAGCGGTCCTCAGGTGAAGCCACGGTGCGATCTAATCAGTGTCAGCATTTGAGCAACTGCGCAAAACAGTCAACTGATAACAAGTTTGGGTTTCTTTTGGATTAGGGGAGGGTTAGGCGCACAGTTGCTCAGATAAACGCACTGTCATTGATATGTGCTATCTTGTTTTGCTATAATTACATTTCCTTACATCGGGAAAAGCGACAATTTAAAACCTCGAGCATCCTCTTCATTTTGTTGGAATTTCTTTGCAAACAGGGTCAACGAGGCGAAGGTGGGCCCAGCGGACCACCTGGGCGGACAGGACAAATGGTAAATATTTAAAGCGGGTTAGGCTAGGTCTTTGGAACAAGTTCAGCTGTTACTGCCGGAACTCAATCTTGTTTCCGTAGCCTGAAGCGTCCAGGAGTATTGAGACTTCCTCTGGTAGAAACACTAGTCTACCACAAGCTACCCCACCTTCCCTTATCCTAGTCTACCACAGGCTACCCCACCTTCCCTTATCCTAGTCTACCACAGGCTACCCCACCTTCCCTTATCCTAGTCTACCACAGGCTACCCCACCTTCCCTTATCCTAGTCTACCACA